GGAAACACAAAAAAGTACGATCCTTATTAACTTCCAGCATTTATAGTGTTATTCAAAATACGAACGGACAGCATACTTCTACCAACATTACAAATTGTATCCCATTATTACTATTGTGATTATCATTATACATGAACCCATCTAAATCTGAAAGGCACTGGGCATGTTATACGATGTAGAACAGCAAGATACTGTCAAATTACCCTCATTCTAAGTTTTGTGGCTATGAAATGGGATTTGCTTATAGAATGGTATGGGTCTCATTACTATTTTTCCTCATAACTATTTTCTAGTAAGTAATTACTTTAAAAACTAGCAATCACATAGGAGGATTCAAAGAACATGTTTTGAAATTAACATCTTCATAAGCAGAGATATACAGGAAAATTATAAAACAACAAGTATGGAAAACATTTTAATATTCATATACATAGATGTTGTCAAAATACGTACAGGTTCTCTGCTCCACATACAAACTCTATAATTATATCATAATTTATTAAGAACGTTCAATTCTGATAAACTACCACAATGCAAATACTTGGATATGACGTCAGTGTCCTTCAAAAAGTTCAATTTATATTAAATAGTATTTTTAAAACTTTGAATGTCTATTTTGTTGAACTTTTTCGTTATCTACCTCAGCTTCAATGCAATACGATGACACCTTCGTTGGGATACAGCGAAGCTACATTTGAGGGACTCAATCAATCGGAACATCACTCGGGCTCATTCCGTCATACCTAGCAAAACGTCCGACGTAATAATGAGAATTCTCATCGATTTGATGGGTTTTGGTGGTTCGCCTTCGACGAAAAACATGTATTACTACACATAAAAATAAATACGGTAAACTTTGTAACTGCTACATTTTACACTCTTTTAAATGAAATTGTTGTGCTGTAATCGTGATTAACCTGCTTAAATATATTTTGTCAAGAAAACTGAAATAACCAATTATTTCAAACTCTTTACGTAAGTACTCATCATTTATTTAAAACTAACGCTAACTAGGTGACGAAAAATAACGTAGTGGCAGTTGAAACAGAAAGAACATGAAGCTACTGTTAGCAGTAGTATTTTTTTAATTATACGTCATACGCATGCGTATTACTGCTTGACGTTTAAGCCGTGTGATCGAAAGTACTCCAAACATTGTTTCTACATCCGAGTCGGAAAAGCCCGAACAATTTTTTGATTGGGACAAAGTTTTCTGTGCTGCCCTCATGCGACGGAAGTTCAAAGGTACTCCATTATATCTTTTAGTTTTATTTTTCGAATAATAATAGAATGTTTTAATTTCATTGGAACTTTTTAAGTGTCATCTGAATAGTTGCATTTCAACATGAACAAGATCTCAAACTTTCAATCTTCACTTTCTAGCAAGCGAGTATGTTTAGGTTGAAATATAAATAACCAGGGAATTCAATCCTTTCTAATACAAGTCACTATTAAAATTTTCACTACTTTTCATCAACACTGAAAAAAATGAAACCGTAACAGGTTATAATACTTTCAAAAGTGGATTATTTTAATTAAATTTTAAAAAATCGTATTTCTGATATGTATTCAATTTCTGCATACCAAAAAGTTAGTAGCTTAGATTTTTCAAGCATTTTTGAAATAATCAATTCATAAAACTTAAATTAAAAGTAATATGGGATAATATTATTTTAATCATAGCTGTAACTGAATACTAACAGAAGGTGCCATATCTAAATTGAAATTAACATATATTTAAAAACAATTCCACCCTTAGAGATCTGTGCAGCTTTATGCCTAACAACAAACAAATGAAAATCCTTTTCTCGAGATCAAAAGAAATTAAACCTTTGTAAATATATCGTACATGCTTAAGTGTATTGAAAACTAAAAGAAAATACAGTATTTTATGCATTAAAACAATCATAAAAATGTAGAGTTTGCAAATCATATTCGTTTTGAATATTTCTTTAAAAAACAAACCTTTTTTGTTTATCCTGATTCAAAGTGAGATGTTAGCATCATAATCAATTACATTTCTTTGTCTTTAATCACAGTAGAGTAATAGACAATGGCTTTAAGTTTAATACAGAAGAGTGAGAAAGAGTATGTTATTGGTGTGCCTGCAAAAATAACGGACAATACCTTCATACTGATCCCAAAAGAGTAACAGCTTATTTCATGCTAATCCTATTACAATGAGGCTTTAAGAGGCTATACCTTCACATTGTTTATTATGTCTACAAGCAGTACAAAATGTAGGTTCAGCTCAAGCAGGATTAAAATTTTGATAGCAGAGATTGATTTCAATGGTTTTAGATTGGGGCTTTAGATTGGAATGATCTTTGACCTTCAGTATTACGTTTTGGGGAAAATGTACTGGAAGTATAGCCAACAATTACATCAATTTGAGCAGAAAATTAGCTTACATCACCACAAGAAGACTTACTTTTGAACTTTCACCTTTTTGTTACTTTTTCTTGAGAATATACAGAGAAATGGCAAAATTTCATTTTATGAGCCAGAACTCTTGAAGATTGAAATAGTTAATGAACAGGATTCACTGAGCAATGTTACATTTCTTCAATCTTCCCAACATACTTAACACAAAGCACTTCTTAGAATTATCTGCAGAGTAGAAAGTCACTGGGTTTAAGAAAAAAACATTATGTAGAAATTCCAAAGTGCTCAAATTTTGGTAAACCAACAAGTTTAAAACCTGATAAAATAGTTGTTCAAATTACAGTCACAAGTTGGTCTGTTACAAGATCTCACAGCTTAAGCATTATGAAAGCTATACTCATCCAAGCCAGTCTGATGAGCCCTGGTATTGGATGAAAGGCCTCATCAGAACAAGATATAGCAGATATAGTGTGGTTGACATATTATAATAGATTCTTATTTACTTTCATTCAAAAGGTTTTAGAATATCTAGTTAAAATCCATTAAGTCATACACTTACAATTTTATACTAAATTATAGTTTCAATTAAACTGTAATAGGACACATGTTACTGCTTAGAAATCTACATGAACAACAAGGAAAGAGAAAATAAAATTACTTTAGAATACACGTTAAAAAGAATGAAATACTATTATAGTCATCAGAATTATGGGTAGTATGTATTTACCACACACACACAATCTAGATAAGCCTTTGCTGCAACTCACTTCACATATATGGAATTTAAGTACAGTATAACAGACATTCCCAACTTTCAGTGCAGTATTCACTTATATAACTAAACTTCCATCAAAGACAATTTAAATGTAGAAAACAAACATAATTTTGGCAAACATGTAATAGATATGGAAATACTGTCAGTACAGTTTGGTTGTAGAAAAAGTGATTAACAACTGATAAAAAGCAAGGTCATAAAGAAAATTAGTAAATCTAATAAGTCAGTAATTACAACTATAACGTTGTACTTAACTGTTTATATGTACATGAACTATCAATATTTAGCCTCTTAAACTATAGTAGGAATGTCAGATTATCACGAGAAACACCCGACATGCAAAAAAATTCTGTGACAAATCCAACGAAACTTACAAACTTTCTTCCATCACTCACAAGAGAAGGCAACATTGTTCATTTTCCCATATAAATCAGTATTTCCTACTACATTCAGATTAAATGTACACCTCAGAGAGAGAAATTTATCATAAAGAAGGTACTTGATGTAGTTTGTTTATAATTTTCATCTTATCCAAAATGATTCACAAGTATGTCTGTCTTGTTTCTAATTCAGTTTATTGTTCACATACAGATAGTCAATCCGCAATACCTAAACCTGAAAACCAGAATGTTCCAGAAACCAGCTATTCTGATGAACACCCAATAGCTTAGAGAAATTCCTTATACCGGAACATTTTCTGGTTACTGATGCAAACTTCAGACTTGAAATTACTGAAAACTTAAAAATTACCGTACCAATATGTAAATATAATTAAGTATGTAAAAATTTCTTTGGACTTAATTTTAGATTAAATACCAGCATAGCTGCTTTGTTTGGAGGGTTGATGCAGTGCATGCAGTCTCGGTTCAAACTTGCCCTTTGGTTGTACAGCCATCTTTCTGTGTTAACTTGAATTTTTGTCCCTTTGTTCTTCATGAAAATGTCCAAAAGGCAAGTAAATAACAACTTTTATATATGTATTTCATACTTTATTTATATGATCTGTACATGCCAAGCCAAATGACCCCAAAACCCAAAAATTTTTAAATCCAGCATGGCTCAGGTCCCAAGCATTCCAGATTTGGGATCAGGTACCTGTATTTCACTGAATGCTTGTACAACATGCAAAAGTGTATGCTTACTACTGCTAATGTGCAAAATAGCACACATGTACTTACATAATTCAGTATTAGGCCTTCTACTAAATTTACAAATGTTTATAATAGCCAACTTACTTCACAATGGTAGATCTTATGTGTTTTGAATTTTTTACTATATTGCTGTTCTATTAGTAAAATTCAATTAGTTTACAATAAAAGACAGTAAGGAAGACTTTCAATGTTAATAAAATAGGATAAAATCTAACTGAATAAGCCACAGCAGCTACATATATTTGTTGTCTTCCATCTTGAATCAATAATGAGCACTTTTCATGGTAAATACTAACCTACAATGTAGAGCTAAGTCAATTATTGTAGGGCAAAAATGTGTACCAACTTTTAAACCATTTATTTCTGGTTTAAAAATTTGGTACCTTCACACATGCACAAGAATAAAGGTTCTAACATGTGTGCAATATAACACAAAGTAACCTAGTATGATAGCAGTTTACCTGCAAGGTGTCTTTTAAATAATTTCATAAAACTATAATTTACAAGTGTTTATTTCAAAATATATTATATATTGTTTGCAATAAAATGGCTTTTGAGTCAACTTAGAAAAAAGTATAGTGCAGTATAAAATATGTACTTAATTTAAATGAAGAATAAATTAAGTTCTCCATTTACTATACATCAATTACTGTTTTGGATTAATTTCAATAAAACTCAAACATACTGGATTAATATTTACAATTTTATTCCAAAAAAAGCAAGAACAGTTTACTGTTTCTCATTGTAATCCAAGTGTATATTCATTATAGTTGAATGGGAGATAAAGTTAATTAACAATAACTATTAACTTTACTTATCAATCTGAGCTTTTTGAAAGAAAAAATGTTACTTGAATACATTAGTTACAAAAAATTAAAATTTTACAATTTTAAGTAGAAAACAAAACATATTTCAATAGTAACGGTGTTCCAAACCAACAAGTATTTCCTCGTTTTGAACAAGTTTTAGCTTCACCTAAATTCTCCTTTTTTTATGGCTGGAATCTACTAGTGGAAAAAAAAAAAAAGCAAGAGAGCAACCTAGTTTTTAAAATCTTATTTTTCAATCATAGCACATAATATATAATTTGAATCAGATATTACATTAATAAATAGAAAATTATTTTTTAAATAGAAACCTGTACAAATATTTACATCACTATGATTGAAAATAATCATGAGACCATTGCTTATTTTGTTAAAGCTATATAACATTTTAAGTAATTTATATAAATAATTCTAAAATCACACTAATTATTGATATTTTACCCAACCTAAACACCAAGCATTAAATCTGCAAACGAAGCATGTATACTGGAACAACATTGTAAGAATATGGGTTTTTAGGTCGGTCCACTTCTATTCTCAGTCTTAAAGTGGCAAGACTTCCTTCAGTAACATCTCGACAGTCTTGAACTTTCAAGGACTTCAATATCCTGCAGTATTCACCAACAAGTCTTAAAAAAAAGGATAAAATTAACCAGATTTAACCTCTAAGCTTGATTCTTACAGCAACACATAATATATGCATTGCTTTACTATATTGGAAAAATACTACGGCTATTGACTTTACATTAAATCATGTATTAATAATTACTGTTAGTAAAAATATAGGATATTTTAGATAATGTTCCAAGTCCCTCGTGATTGTGAAAATCAGTATATTCAAAATTAGTAAAACTTTAAAAACAACATGCATTCCTCAAAACAAACAAGAACTGGAAATTTCTGTATTCTAGTTGTGACAAGCCCCAAGTTAATTTTTAAGAAAAATAAGTGTCAGTTGTGATTTTATATGAACCTTTTACTGGTATATCAAAGGGAAATAAACATTGTGTTCTCAACAGTTTAAACAACATCAGTGTGCATAAACAGATCCAGACTGATGTTGAAACATGCCAGGACAAAAACATCTGAATATATCCACAATGTAGAGAGCAATAGGTCAGCTCAAAAAAAATTGTAGAGTCTGATGGAGAACAAAATTTGGCAAAATCATTTAATGAAATGACATAATAAAATATATCCAACACAGATTCACTAACAAGAAGCACTGCCTTAGTAATATGTTAATCTTTTTCTTATTACTTGTTATCTACATAATGAAAAGAGTGTGGGTTTGGTGTTTTATTCCACAAGGTTTCTTTTAAAGTGCCTCACAAAAGATCAGCTAAGAAAATTGCAACAGTGGGGGATGGGGAAAGACTAGTTAATTGGATTGAAGAGTGATTGAACCAGAAAAAGTAAAATTGTGTTATCAATGGTGTCAAGATTTTCAGGAATCAGTTCTTAGACCTTTACTTTTTCTTATTTACATAAGTAAAGTTTGCCAGTGAAATTAAACTTTTGGTTATTTCTAGCTATACTGAGAATGTTGAGGTACTAAACATTGATTCAAATCAATTATTAAGTTGGGCAAATAGTTAGAAAATATTGCTTAATTGTAGTAAGTGCAAGGTAATGCACTTGGGTTATGATAAGTTGAGTCACATGCTTCATATAGATAAGAATCCAATCAAAAGCATATCTAATATAAAGAATCATAGCACATTTGTAAATAATGCAAGGTAGCATTCAGTTACTAGTAGAAAACCAAAGAGTTTTAGGATGTATTTATAGACATTGGTTACAAGACAAAAGGGAAAATTATATTTTATATAAATCATTAGTTAGGCTTCACCTATAATATTGTGTACAATTTTGATCTAAGAAAAGGATACGATTTATTAAAAAGTGTTAAGAAGAAGGCTACTAGGATGATTCCAAAGATGGAAGGTTATTTCATGGGGATAAGTTAAGATCTCTTAATTTGTTCTTGAGAAAATAAAATTATCTAGGGAAATTGATAAGATAAATGCTTCTTTGTGCTAAATTCAACTGGCAATAGAATGAAAGGACTCGTAACATTTGAAAAAGACAGACTAGACTCCTATTAAGCTTATTAGCTTGTGGAATGAGTTGCCATTAGCAAAGTAGAGGATGGGACCTTACAAGAATTTAAGAGGGTAATCAATTATTTCCTTTTGTTGTATGATCACTATTGAAACAGGAACTAGGAAACCACCATCCTTGTACAATAAATGGATTATGAAAACACACAGGGAAGAGTGGTGTGCTTTGACCATAGAAAACTTATGATGAAGCCTTTTGCAATGGAAAGTATGCTACAAGGTAACTGTCAAGATGCATAGTCATCAGATAGAGCATGATTGGATGTGACAACATGGATCGTAATGACATGATGAGGCTCCAAAATTGCTTTGATTTAATACACTAAACCCCTTTAATTTTAAAGAGCTGAACAACACACTGATGGTAACAGTTATTTCACAGATCACAAACAGGAGGTACCCATCTTATACAGATGACATAATAATGGTAATAACTTTATAAAAACAAAAAACAACAGATCCTTTAATGATGATACCAGTGCTAAATTCTTGGTCAAATACAACAATAGAAAGGGTTTGACCTCCTTAGTCCAAAACTGTAATTAGATCTAAAATTGGTCAAGAGATGATGGAGCTATAAGCTAAAAGTTTGTACTCCAGAAAAAACAACTCAGAGCTGTTCTATGAGCCACTATGCCACAGCTAAAAATTATAATGAAGTATTTTACTCCATGACTTGCATACATATAGAGTCAAATGACTTTCATGCATGTATTTTTATACATTTTAGTTATTATTCTTATTGTTTCACAACATAAGTGTTTATGAACACCTTTAGGAAATTAACCCTAAAGCACTACATTTCTGGCATTTCTATTCCTCACTGAAATTCTTTCACATCACTCAGTTTGATCACTGTGATATTTTGAATAACACTCTCACAGATAATAAAACTTAGTTTTCTTAAGATACTCTCTTGGAAATGAAAAGAAACTTATTTTTTAAATTGTGAGGCTAATTTAATTTTAGATTAAGTTAAATTATTTTTCACATTTATCAACTTTTTTTATTAAATGTTTTCCTTTGTCCATAGTATATCAATTTTAGCTCCTAGGTTTAACTGTAACCTTATGTACAGTAGCTATGAACTGAAAATACATGTAGTGTATATGTTTGTAAAAAACTCACAAATATGAGCACAGTGTAAACAGAAAACAAGTATCCTTTTTGTGTAACTATAAAAGAAAAATTTTTTACTTTCTAAAAGTTTTCTATAGAATCCCCTCTTTGACATAATTTCTAGTTTTTCTAATTTAGAAAAATATATTTTAAGCTAAAATCATAAAAAATATTCTACATTAAACTGGTACACAATTAAAAACATTTTATTTAGGCCT